TTCAGTACTGATGTTTGAAAGACATCTTAAAAACTCCAGAGATACCTCAGGGCTCCAGATTCAAGACCAGGCACCTCTGCTCTAAATCAAATCTCACCAAAATCTTCAATGTTGTACCAGAAGTTACCTTCCTCTATACTCTACGTCTTTGAAACTATATCCTTCTATGCCATCGGGTTTATCAGCACTGGTATAATAGTTTTCAAGTGAATTCGACCTCAATGATAGAACTTGATGGGGAAAATGGATGTAAATCCTTTCCCAGAATTGCTTTTCTGTGAAACTGACCCAGATACTATTTTACTAGTCAGCAACAATGAGAGAACCCCTTTTCCCAGCTTGTCCTTATACCAATGTCAACAGGAGATGCATAAACCTTTCACTCCAATGACCTTTCACCAGCTCATCTTTACCAACCATGAAACAATTATTTATTCTTGGTACTCTGAATGTGCTTGGACTTTTTAAGGGCTTTCAGGCTGCTAGTTTCGTGTCATTGAAACTTGACCGTCCTTTCTCTTCTACCAACCAGTCCACGGTTCCATTCTCAGTCTACCCCGATAGCATAACACGACTCGGCGCTGTTAGGTTTTTAGATGAGAGAGAGGAATAACACCATGGGAGCGCGATCACGCCTCTCGCCGGAAACAAGTCAGAAAAATGCATAGACAAATAAAAAAAAAAACATTTTTGATCGGTAAAATCCCCGTTGGTTCGTAGCATTGAACCAGAACGGCGAGATCACGCTTTCTGCCTCTTTCTGAGAAGACTGCGCCGTTGTGACCAATAGGGTCAATAGAGGGCGCAAGAAAAAGAGTTTGAACTAGTAGCTGTTACTGGGGTTTCTTTCGAGTCTGTGTCGGATTGACTTGCGCATTCATTATAGGATGTTTTTATAGAAACTGCTTAGGTATACAATGAAGCTATTTCTGTACATAAACTAGTTTTCCGTTATTCTCTTCAAGAAATTAAGCCTGGAACTTACTTTTAAGATAAAGCAGTTTGTCTTTTTTTTTCGTATTATTTTTTAGATGCAAAATTAATCGCGATGAAAGGTGCGAGTATCCTTTTGAGTTATAACTTTGAACCTGGAGAATCCTGGTTTTGGTTCAGCACGTCCTATATACCAATTCAAGACAACGGCACGTCCTCTAAAATTCTTTATTTCTTCCCTCGTTATATTTTCACAGTTCATGTTACAACTGAGTAATATGGAAACGAGAAAGGACATAATTAAGGAAATTAGTCCAGACGACATTAAGTTAAACAAGGTTGTCGGAGAACATGAGACAAATTCTCCTTCCAGACGTGGAGTTTGGAAATTTCAGTTTGTGTCTCGCAATTTGTCTGACTTGTTTCAGACGAGAGACGTGATCACGTTACCATGGTGTTATTCCTCTCCCTCATCCGGGATATCTACTCAGCTAGATGTCTTAAGAAGTCCAGGTCCATTCTCAAGGAGCCCAGTCATCCCAGTCACAAACTGTTTTCCCTCCTACCGTCCGGTAAACGGTACCGAAGCATTCGGTCCAGGTCCAACAGATCACGGAACAGCTTCTACCTCCGGGCAATAAGACTGCTAAACAGCCAACCTGCAGCTCCTTCAGCAAATCACCAGTAATGGCTACATGGACATACAGTTTTCACTGTACTATGCATACTGCACTACTTGTATATATCGCATACACCATAGACACATAGCAGCTCTATTTATATTGCGTTTTGTCAGAGTTTATTTTATTAAATTTCTATTACATTATTATCTATTATTATGCAACCTTGTTCTGTAACCTTCATTTTGTGATTTTAAACCCCCCGGCGAGCTCGTAGAAAAGACATTTCATTGCCAGCAACTACTGCTGCACGCTGTATTGTTGTGCGTTTGATCAATAAACTTTGATTTGATTCGATGTCCTTATTCTGGCTGTGACAGCAGCTGAAGCCGACGAAGCACCGAGCTGTCGTTTTCAGAGTGACAGTCTGCTGTCCCCTAGCGCTGTACTGAAGGAAGTGGTCTCGCATTTTGTTTTCCATTTTCTCGCCTTTCTCCAGGGTTGACAAAGAGAAAGCACGGGCGGCCGGGAGCTGTCGTTGTGAAATAGAAACCGGGAGATTTCTTCTAGGTAAAGAAACTTACGTCACATCGAGACGAATGGATTAGCTGTGGAAGTTTACGAGATTTTCCACAGGGCTCGTTTACTGTAAAGAGTCTGAACAGATTTACCTCAGAAGAAAAACACACGAGAGCTGAAATAATCGTTCTATGACAACCTGACAGAACCATGCGCCAGATTTCTAGCAGCGATACTCAGACTTGTAGCTTTAAAAATGAATCCCTTTACAGATTTTCACAATTTTGATCCAATTATGTCATCGAGACACCATTGCGTATGAATCAAAGTTCGTCATGCTTGTCTTGTAATAAAATATACTTAGGAAATTCAACGTGTTGTGCTCAAACAAGGTAGAACATGTGTATCCCAAAACCAAGAGCGAAGAAAAAATATTTCAAGAAACAATCGTGTAATCCTGAACTACTATTCTCAAATGGATTTAAATGCATTTTTAAAACAGAAAAAGTGATGTACTCCTTTTATGACCATAAATTAACATTTGTTGTTTGCTACACTTTTTCTCAGGGCGATCGAATCCATATTTGACTCCACTGTTCGTTAATTAAAACAATCGAATTAAAGAAACGAGGACAAGTTTGGAAATTAAGAGCGAAACTGAGGTCTGAAAACGGAAACGCTTATTTAGCGTGTGCAAGGTATACAAGAAGTCTTGGGTTACTGCCGGAGCTTTCATTATACAGTAGTGTGAAAACGCACTTTGTGGGATCCTTCAAAAGCGCCTGGAAACGATTTTGAGATTTATTTCCTACTACTTAGCACTTTCTAAGACCCTTCTCGAAGGAGAACCTGACAAATGTTCTTGTTTTTCAAGATACTAAAATATTTTTTTAAAATACAGTTTTCACTCTGTATTTTAAATGTGAATAAAATGGTTCTCCGGGGACAGAATTAAGAACGAGAAAATCGTATTATTTTATTTACCTTGTCATTTCTTGATCAATTCCGCCACTGTTGTCATTTTGTATCTTGGGTCTGTAATTTCAGTTCGGACGGAGCAAACAACACGCGACTGTTGATCAATTATCGTCTTAACGATTGTTAATCAGCTGTGAGCCTGGTCAGTAGCTGGATGGGAGACCTCCTGGGAAAAACTAAGGTTGCTGCTGGAAGAGGTGTTAGTGGGGCCAGCAGGGGGCGCTCATGCTGCAGTCTGTGCCGCAGACTGTGTGTCCCAGTCACTATACTATAAAAATGTATATGTAATGTATATCGGATGAGAGGTAAACCGGGGTTCCGGTTTCCTTTTGTTCTTTAAAACCCCCGGGGGTTTTTTCAAAACCGTTGGGGTTTTACCCCGGGCCTTCACCAGTTATGGCCTCCTAACAATCCCCATCTCTGAACTGGCTTCATTACTCTGCTCTCCTCCCCACTGAGAGCTGGTGTCTGGGGGAGCGGACTGGCGCATCATCCAAGTGGGGCTGCACACTGGTGGTGGTGGAGGGGATCCCCATTACCTGTACAGCGCTGTGAGTGAAGTGTCCAGAAAAGCGCTATATAAGTGTAAATTATCATTATTATTATTCCTCCCTCCCAGAACATTTTCTTTTGATTAGCCAGATTTCCCCAACTTTATCACCGAGTAGTCATGAGTTAAAGAAAAACTCTCTTTGCCTTTAAATCCAATTGAGCATAGTGGTTAATTGCCCAGGTGTCGTATCCAAATTAGTATGCCCAGGACATCTGTACCCCCACCCCCTCTCCTTAAAGCGCATGCGTCACACAGAGCTCCCCCAGGAGAATTCACGATGCGTGATGGTGTCTTTGCTTGTTACGACATGGATAAAAAGGAGCTGGTTGTTGGCTGTGTGTTTATACCTGTTTCTCGGAGTATTTAGTGTGTTTGCTAGGGGTTACGGTGATATAAGCAGTTTTACGGCTGCCACGTGAAGCGAAGTTTCGGTTATCTTTACAGGATGGCACACAGGGGCTAGTTTTTTCCTTATGTGTTTCATATACATCGTTTTACATGTGGAGGATGAGAAGGGTACTTTTATGTACCCTTGGATACGACAAGGGTACATAAGAGAGGAGCAGTAATGAACACAAACCACTAATGTGGCGCTTGTCAAAAGAGCTCTAGAGTCTGCAACCTTATAGAGACCTGTGGCACATTGTATACTGGCCCTCTGAAAGCTATTCATAGAGACGCAAAACCGATTTGAAGAACTGCTTGGCGACCTAGTTTTTGTTTCGGGTCTCGAAAATCGTGTTGTCAACTGTAAGTGCTGTTGAAGTTACTAGACGCGAAATTTTGCAATCTGACCGAGAAACTTAATTCCTTAATCAGCTCTGTGCAGGTCGGCTTCAGTTTGTAGGAGGTTGATATTGTCCGGTTGCCTGGGAAGAGGATATCTTGTGTTAGCAGGGATTTACGACGGGATTTTAAATATGAGTATTTATATGCAATCTCAAGGTGACGAGTGCAGTGTTTTGTTTTTTATTTTTCATCACAGAAAAGAATGGCGCAAAGTTACAGTTATTTGGAAGAGTATAATTCATGCAGTTAACTAGTTTAACGGTTTACTTAACTCGTGCAGCCATCTGAAGTCGAATCGTATGTTTTTGCACAAAGATAAACATTAGTCAATTAGCTCTGTTGTGCGATAAGATTAGTCTGGGATTAATTTCCATTGAAGTGGTTCTATTTGATAAGACATGGGCATTAGGACCCAGATGAGTGATCGAAGGCGTTGTCTCCTCACCTACACCTGCCCAAAATAAACTGGACTTGTGCCAGTGGAGGATGAGTGTGACACAGGTATTTACTAAACGATCCACAGCTACTTTCTCTCTCCCTATTTAAATATTTTATTTCTGCCGAAATATCTAACCGGATTTTTACAACCATCTCGTTCCGCGGCACAGTGGGTTAAGATAATGCTACCAGGTTGTTTAAACTGACATGGTGTAGAATATTGATCCGCAGAGACCTTTGCCTTTCCAAATAGATTTTGTTCTGAGCCAGGAGTCTGGTCAGAACTTTGCCTTTTTTCCCCCCCTGTGCTGTTAAACGGCGCCGTTTACCTTGATGAAAACAATCTCAGACAAGATGTGAAGACAAACACCTATGTTTCCAAATCAAGTGTAATCGAGTGGAGCACACAAATCAAAGCGAGTAGCGTTATGGCTTTGGAAAACGGATTAAAACATTTGAGTGCTTCTGATGTAGGCCTACAGAGGGAGGACGTTTCAACGAAGGACGACGAGAAGCAGGCAAGTTATTTAACGTGAATGTCGTATTTGATTATAACTTTCCTCTGAAGTTCAAGTATTTTATTGTCTACTTATCCTGACATATAAAGAAGAAAGCGGTTTCCTTTCAATCAAGATCAAATAGCAACGCAACCACGAGCTCCTGATTGCTCGAGTTTTGCGTTTCCTGCTTAGAGAATCGAGGGTGATAAGGGGGCAGATTTTCACTGTGGGTAAAAGCGCTCTTTATTCTACTGTGGAGCGAAAAATCTGCTAGTTATGCAAGTAACGCGACAGCAGGATGCACAAAACGGAGGAGCCACCAACAACAACCCGCGCGTGGTTTCGGAGCAGGTGCCGAGTTGCGATACTCGCTCTGCCTGCCCAGGAGACATCAGATGTTTCTACCAAGTGTCCAGTTGCTCGTTCCGACGTGTCTGAATTTTGTCTTGGCAGTGGTTTCTTCGCGCAATCGAATATTCGGTACTGTCGCAGTTTTAGAAGCAGGCAGACAGCCTATCTCTGCGAGTGCCACAGCCCATATGAACAAGACGCAATCCCGACAAGATGAAAAGCCCTAAGAAAAAAAGAATACTTCTGAAATGCCAGTAGAGATATTTCTCAGCCAACAGTGCACCAGAAAATCTTCTAAGGTTATTGTTCTGGCGAAAGAGGGATTACAGTATGTTGAATATTGTTATTTTTTTATTTGGGTGATGAATTTCACTGAGGGGCTTGGATTTAAATACCCTCTACGTTAAGATATAGTGTCTAATTATAATATGCTTTAAGGTGGCAAAATGTAATCTGCTATATACCTCATCAGAGAGTTGTATTTTGGATAGGGGTTGAGGCAATCATGCTTACTGCAATAACCAATGTGTTATGTACTGTATACAAGAGCACCATAAGTTGAATGAATGTGTTAAGTTATACATGGAAATGAAGTGCACTAATTCATGCACTGCTTGTGATTACAAAATTCATATCATGTAGATAAATGGGCTCTTATTCCTGCTACTGGAGACCCACACACCTGCTGGTTTTGATTCCAGTGGAGCTTGAAGGGGGAAACTGCACTCCCAGTTTCTCAGACTGGTTATTAAATGTCAGTAACAAGATAAATGAATTGATGGTTTTTTTTAATAAAAATTAAAAAATCATTTTACGCATTTCAAATTAAGCACCGAATCGGGAACATTGTGAAAATACTGTAAGTCACCATTATTGTGCTGTGCTGTGAAGCAGCCCTTCCTGCTCACTAGTCCCTGTAATGACTAATCTAATGTGATGTACGAGCGAGTAAGTACAGGTTGTGCAGCAGACATTTCACTACACAAATGTTCCAATGTGATCTGCCTGCAGAGAAAACGAGTAGTATTTATTGGTGGAAAGGTCTCGAAATCGAGAGCAATATTTCTACTGGATTAAAAGAAGCATTCACAAGCCTGCTTGCTTACATCACCCGAGGTTTTGTTGCCTCGTTCTGAATCACAGAACATGGCTCTGTGCATACTATGAAATTTGATTCATTTTGTGCTGTAACTTGGAGGTTTTACAAGTTACTGTGTGCATTTTACTCTTGCTGTGGTTGGAAATGCACTCATGAATGCCGATTCTTTCTAACCCCCAAAAATTAGTGATGCAGTTTCCCCTTAATTACCTAATTGGATTAACCCATTTCTTCATTGGCATATTTTTCAACTTTGTTTCTCCTTGGGCAGTGCGGTAGTTAATAGGTGCCCCCCCCACCCACAACATGTTTAAGACCTGAGAACAGGTGAACGTTCAAATGAATCCTGTTATGAAGACAATGGGATGTTCACTTGTGCAACTGGGAACTGGCACAGGCCAGCAGGTGTGTGTGTTTGTGATATAGAGGCGCAAGGCAATATTGGGGACTTCTGTATGCAATGCAATATTGGAACGAAAGCAGAGCAGCACTTCTCAAGACCAAGGGAGGAAATCTGAGCACCCTGCTGAAGGTGGGGAGAAACTGTGACGCAGGCAGGGAATCCCGACGGGAACTGTTCAGCCAATGCATTATTTCACCCATAATGCAACACATGTTGGCGACTCGGCACACAGAGCCATATTTTAATTAGCGGAAAAGGTTGCAGGATGAGCTGCGTGCCGGCTTCCTCCAAGCGAGTAAGCGATGGTAATCGAGCAGTACTAATGAAGTTGTTTACCTCCTGCAGAGCCAGAAAGGCCTCGTCACTGAAGTCCCGCGATCATACCTGCGGCTGATCACAGTAGGCCCGAAGTCAAGCTGTCCGTTTTTGAGAAATGTCAATGCTTTCTGGCAAGACGGCTGATGTCAAAGGAGGGGGGGTCCTTAAATTGTTGCGGGGTGGGGTGCTCTAGCAACTTGATTCGCACATCAGCCCTCGGCCAGTGCTCCTCGAAGGAAGTTCCCAAGCGGCCTTTTGGAAAAGGATGAGAGTGATCTGGCTTCTTAGGGTGCCAACGCCCGAGGCGGTTTTTGCGTTAAACTGTAACTCTTGGCGTTTTCACCACAGGCACAGCCTCCCGGAACGGCCCCTCCGTGTCTGAAGAAGAAGGGGCCCTCCAAGCTGTTAATCGCGGCTCTGCTCGTTGTCGCCGCCCTGCTGGTAACTGGGGCCGGACTTCTAGTGTGGTACTTCTTTGGTAAGCTGGAGGGCAGCTGTCGTGTTGGACGCAGGCTTCTCTCCGTCTGCGTAGTCTTTCTTTCTGTGTCTCGCTGTCGTCTGGAAAGGCTGAGAGATGGGGGGGGGAAATGGCCACTCGCCATGCTGTCTACAGACAAACCCGCTGTGGTTAAATACCGCTGACCTCTCTCCTCCTGTGTGCCCAGCTCATGCAGGGCTCCCTCTCCTCTCCGTCACCTTCCAATATCCAGATCCTTCCTTTCCCCCCATTTTCTTCTAAGCACACGATTTAAAACTCACTGATTTGAAAACGGGGGTGAAGATTTCATGTGGTAAACCTGGGCGAAGGGTTAATTTTTTTTTTTGCCCTGAGCCGAGCTGAATCCGGTTGCAATTGAGCTCTTCTGCTTTTCCCCACTCTCTCATGAAAGGTGTTGATTTGGAAACGCCACCAGCTGTTCTTGTGCGATACGAACGCTGCTAATTTCTAGCAAGGGCTTTGGAAATGGAACCTTTCTGGGACACACAGGTTGCAAGGGGCTGGGTGGGGGAGGGGGGTTCCCACTGGATCGGATGCCTGGAGTCTTTTTTTTTTTTTATAAGAAGCATAGGAGGATACAAATGAGAGAAGGCATTTGGGCTCATCTTGTTTGTTTGGTTGCTGGTAACGAAGAGATCAGAGGATATCATCCCGCTGTTTCTGGACACAATGGTGGAACCTTGTGTCTCGGGCCTGGTTTCCTTCCGGAGTGTTACGGTGGAGCGCTCCCCATCCTGAGAGCATCACCTGTTCCCGGTTGCCTAGGAACGACTCACCTGAGGCCTGGGCTGCTCCGTGGGCTGCCTCCTTGGCACACAGGCCCGGGAGGCTTTCCGATGGAACTCATTGGCAGCTTCCAGAAAGATGTTTTCATACACAGTAGGATCTCGACATTCGCGAGGGTTCAGTGCAGAGAACCAGAGCGAATAGCCAAACTCGCACATAACCATCCCATCACATAACATACAACAGTTTATAGTGTGTATGGTTTAAAGACATAAGAAACCCTCCCTTTACATGATAATTAAAGTACTCATGCATTGGCTTTAAGTTAATTTAAATTACATTAATTAACCGAAAGAAATATAAACAATTGTTTTTTGAAGTTACAGTATCGATGTCTATATCTTGATATTTCATCAAGATATGCACGTGACGTCTATACTGTACATAAACATCTAAGGACATGGGCAAGTATTGACAATTCAGTCTCCAAATAGGAAATTTGGAGAATGGGGGGAAAAATGGCTTAAATCAATGGAATTAAGAATTCAAGGTTGCATATATATATATATCACTCAAGAACTGTGGTTGTGTTTCCTATATTGGTGTGATAAAATGAGTTTTATCTGTATTGGGTCAACAAAGGCCATTTTCACATGCTTTAAAGGACCACCATTGAGTAGCAGTACATAAAAGCAGAGCTTATTTAAGTAGAATGAGCTGAGCTAGTAACAGATCCTGTTAACACAAAACATAGTCTGGGTAAAGCAAAACACAAAAAAAGACCAGTAAATCAACTGCTAGTTTTGCTGGTCTTCCGATTTGGAAAATCTCCAGTCTCTGATTTTATGTCTGAAGTGTAAAGGGACGTAGCCTGACTTAATCCTTCTCTTGCGCGGCAGTTTCGACTGCAGTATTGTTAAGCGCGCATGAATAGACGATTCTTTTTTTTTGACGTGACCGCAGAGCCGCCGTCTCTGTTGGGGAAGGCATGCGGTATGTTTAACAACATTTCCGGTTTTAAAGTCTCAGAGGATTGTGGGGAGGGGTGTCAGCTGGTAGCCTTGCGGTGCAAGGCCCCATTGCCATAGCAACCTCTAGGCCTCTCTGGAGGTTCCTGCCTGTGGGGCCCTCCTTTTCTCTTTTGGTTTTATTGTTTTTGTTTAGCATTTAGTGCTGGAAACTTTTTGTGGTGAATATCTTGGCCTAGGACTCCCTATCCTGCGTCGCCAGCGTTTTGTTTCATGGCCGAGTGCTTGACTACTGTAAGCGATGACAGCGGGGTGAAACGAACACTTTGGGAGTACGCAAAGCTCGGGGTCAAAGAACGCTGTCCTAAGGGTCATGTCCCGCTGTTCAGATTACAGGGTGAGACTGCAGGAGCCCCGCGCGTCGCACCACTACACGGCCGCGATCGCCATCCTCAATCGCAACTTCTCTTCGGAGCTGGCCCGCCACTCCTCCGCCATCTTTAGAGCCGAAGCCGGCGGGGTCCAGGACATGGTAGGTCCGCGTGCGCCCGGCGGCCGTCTGAAACTGGTGTTGTAACAGAACGAATAAGGTTCTTGATCCCGAGATGAAGTAAAACAGATGAGTTTATTGCATGCAAGGAACAATAAAGCCGAAGTCTTGTTTCCCGCAAGAAACAACAAAACCGAAGTATTGTTCACCGTACTGGTACAAACTTTTGGGTTATATAGTGTCATCTTCTCCGTTTCTGACGTCACTCGGTCTGATGGTAAACAGGGGGGTTCATGGTATTTGGCCAGTTTACAATGTTCTGGACAAATGGTCAGTTTAAGATTACACCCAGGGGGGTTCCTAGCTTCCAGGGGGGTTCCTAGCTTGCATCTGCAATCCTTATCAGTTAACCCCCTTTCCTGCCATAAACCCCAGCTTGTGACTTAGAAGTCTAAACCCCCTACAGAAAGGATTAAATTCAAACCCCCGTCTTCACATCTTTCTTCACTGGGTTCACAGTCGAAGCTGATCGCTTTCCACTTCCTAAGCAGCTCCCTCTGCTCTCACGGGGAGGTGCGTCAGCCTGCGCAGGCTGCACAGGAACAGGCGAAGGTCTCTTCCCCCGCTGAAGGGAAAAGAGAGAGCATGTTTCGGCTGTGGAGTCTTCTCCCTGAATCCTTCAGGTGTCAGGCATGAAGGAGGCTCCACAGCTGAAACAGTCGTCTCTTTTCTCTTCAGCACCAAATAAACCTTCACCTGTTCCCTTGTTCTCTTTCTCTTTCCATTCTTCCTGTAGCCTCAGGGTTCTTTCAAGTGAATATCTCGTCATTATGGAGCCCGAGGTCATAGAGTGATTCTCCCCTTGTTGTTGTTGTTGTTGTTGTTTCGGTCTGTGTCAGGTGGAGAAGCTGGTGAAATCCTCTGATCTTTCCTGGTACTACAATTCAACCACTGTCTTCGCCTTTGGGTAAGTGGTGTGAATGTGTATTTACTCCCACTCTGTGTGGATGAAGTCTTATTTTCACCTTCGGTGGGAAACCTTAATGTAAACTTATACAAGCACCATGAATCGGTTAACTTTTTCGTTTGTGAGGGCTGTGTCTCACTCGGGCCAAACAGTTTTTTGGGGACAAAATGGGTTACAATTTGAGACTTCAAAATTGCCTGTTTTGGTTTAGTTTAGTTTTGGTTTTAGTTGCGAGTTTGCCTGAACAGTCGGTTTGCAGGCATAACGGTTTCAGATTTGTTTTTGCTCCGAAAGTGTGATTTGAATCTATCTTAATGAGGGAGATGAAGACAAATCCCCTGTAAACAAGACATTTTTCCCCATGGCTTGGAGCAACACATCCAAAAGTTTATGTAAACGGCAGGAGAACTTTAAAAGGACAACTGATGGGCCTGTTTCACTTTCTCATTTGTTAGAATTCTATCAGGACTGTTCCCAAATACTCCCTGTAACTTTCTATCTGGCACGAGGCTTGAGTGATATGTCCCACACACCCACATTGCCCTCTACCAGGTCCCTGTGCTATTTAACATTTGCAGTTCTTGGTGACTTGAATGGAATTTAAAAGAGGTCCTGAGGGCAGCTGTATTAATAGGAACCATTTTGTGACGCAGTGTTGTTCCACAGGGAAGGGAGTGTGGTGGCGCACTTCTGGCTGACTCTGTCCGTGCCGGTGAGCCAGAGTGAGAAGGTGACAGTCAGCCGGGTCAACAACAGTCTGTATGAGGCCCTAAGAGCCAGCGGGACAGAGACTGTTGCCAGACAAGGGGACTACCTTCTCCGCCTCTCCTCACTGGATATAACTGGTGGGAATCTTCTCCGTCGCTGGCCCGGCGTCCTTTAACCTTCACTGAGCTACTGTAGGAAGCATCCTAATGACCTGTTTTAACATTGGGGAAAATTGTGTAGATATGAGAGTGTCAGGACAGATTTTCAGGAGGCCGTATTTTAGAATCCGGAGTTTGGAATGTTGGAGTTCGGTTCAGGGAAGAAGATAGAAGGGCATAAGATGATGTAACACCCCTCCCTGCCCTGACCACCATCTAACCTGTTTGTGCTTTCAATGAGACATACATTCAAGGCCAGGTTATGCGTACTGTACTACAGCCTGCTGTGGCTGTTGCTTCATAGTTCAACACCTGATCTCTAGAATAAACTTTGCTGGTACAATCTGCCTTACTTGAGAATCCACCTGAATGTGATATGAAGAAGAATATTTGAGTAGTTTCTCCCTTTTCCCACTTATCTGCTGTGAAGTGGGGCTGCTGGTGCAGATTATCTACTGTGTGTGTATTATCTGCTCAGTGGTGGATGAAGTGGGTCCCTTTCTGTATCTGAAGTACTTGAGGGATCCTACCAGAATAACAAGCAAGCAGTTATTGCTGCTTGAAATCAAAGTTGATGCTGGAAAAAGGACTACTCCAATTTGCCACTTATTCATCTTGCATAGGAGTTCAAGATGTAGGAAGTTGCTCAAAAGCTCTTGAAGAAACAGTTAAGCTAAATGTTAACTGTTAATTTGATGTCTGTCTTAAAATAGCTCAGCACCTGGTGTTTGGTTATATTGGAGACTGTAGATTAAAAACCTGAGAGGAATCAAGCTGCTGCATAAGATTTTTTTCCTTGTTGATTTTCTATAACCTTTTCTTTTTATTTTTTTTTGTGTACAGAAAGTGAATCCAAAGTTATAGATGTCTTCAAAGCTACTTTTGGTAGGTTTATTCTTTTCTTTTAATTTCATTTTCTCCATTTCATTTTTTGTTTAAGGCGCAGTGAGCCAGCCTCAAAATGCATCCTGTTAGGGTTGTGTAGTTCAGATCATGACTTCTAGTCGTTTGTATCCACCACTGATCATTTTAAAACTCCGAAGGACTGTCTGCCAAGGCGTCTCTCTTCTGGGAAAAAAAAAACACAGTGTTAAACACAGCGACTGGTAGTACTCTCAGGTTTATTTCATTTTTCCTACTACTGAGCATAAAGGAATCCACTGGTTTGATGCTGATGAGAGCTTTCGAGATTCTGCCTACTTGCATTGTACCTCCTCAGCGCTCAAGAATGGAACACCTCTGTTCCATTGCCCTACCTTGTGTATGACATTCCCCTTTAAACTACCAACCTTCGGATGGCTCTAAACTCTCATTAGCACTTCTGTTTTCTGAGCTCG